GAATTCAAAACTTTTTCATTAATACACTATGATAGTCCTAATACTTGAGAATAATAAAATCTCATGATTATATTTGATGTTTTATTTGCAAATATAGTAACATTTTTCTTTTCAATTATTTCACCAGCTTTATGGAGAAGTATGAAATAGAGATAAGCTAATAGGAGGCTTTAACTTCATCTGTTTTGCAAAATGGATAAGAAAATGACAACGATAAAGGATACATTTATCATTCAATGGAAGAAAAGAGTGGAGAATCAAGTCTTAAATACACTGAATGCAGCAGAGAAAAATAGCAGCTTCCATATGTATGTATGCAAGACACGAACCAACTGGGTAGATTAATTTAGTAATCACTTCATTGTGACAGAAATGCAAACAAAGTTCACAAGAAAAACAAGCAGAGAATGATTGCAAATTCAGATGAATGTGCACAGGTAAAGCCAGCAAAAGAGCTTTTAAACAAATTATTGTTCCAGAAAAATAAACAATTTACCAGGTGATTTAATGGACTAAATTATCAAATCATATGATAGCTCACAATACAGATCAACAGAGGAAATGAAGCAATGAACTCCATTTCTCCTTACAAAGAAATGGGGCCAGAGAAGCTATGGGATACCTACTGAATCTGAAGGTGCTGGGGACAAGATGTGTGGAAGAGCTTAGCTCAATGACTCCAGAAGGGGTGTAACCTCAGGGAGACAGGGTGTTAAAGGCTGTCAGCATGGCCTAAGCAGAATTTGTTTACATTGGAGTAAATTATGAACATTGCCGATGGTCTCCATCAGGGTCTAAAGCAGACATAAGACACAGGCTCTGGGGCAAATCATCCCTTTCTTAATCACACACAAGCCTTTGGAGTCCAAGTTTATAGATTTTTTCCCCTCGGTCTCTTGCTCATGGGCTTCTGGATAGAACATGATATGTTGATAGCTACACTTCCTCACCTACTTGATACCTCACTTGATACCCTGCCACAATTTTATGGCTGAATCTTCTGTGCACTGTAGCTGCCAGCAGTAAAGATCTACTTTTTCTGCTACCTAGTGCTAAGAATATGAAATTATTATTATTCAGGATCCAGCCAAGGCCTAGGTATTGTACAAACACATAAGAAAAAGATGGTCTTTACTCCAACGAGCTTAGTGAGATCTAATTAAAGCCAGGATATTAGATTGTTTTCCCTATCCTGTGGATCTGGATACAAGTGATTACAGTGTGCCATGAAAAAACACGACTGATCCAAATAAAAAAAATGGGGGAAAATCTGAAAAATAATATGTGCATTTTTTTTTACAGATAAGTGAAGGCTAGGATAACAACTGTGGGGAATATCCAGCAGGAAATATATCATTTGAGACTAACTGTGTAGTGTGAATGAACTACCATACTTGAATAAAATTAAGAATTGTAAAATATCTACACCATTTCTTGGCCAGAGAAGTATTGCTTCCTACATTACAAATTCTAGTGATAGGTCTAACTCAGAACGTTCCAATGGAGTGTTTACAATAAGCTGTCGGAAACTATCAAGGCATGGAGATTATGGATAAAATAACAATGCTCCTTACTGTCACTGACACTCCTCTGCTTGGACCACTCCTAGAGCTGAATCAAATCAGAGTATTTTCCTGAGGTAAAGAAACATTCAGAAACAGACTCTACCCATTTCTTTCTTTCTCTCCACCTCACACCTACTTCCTGGAGGAGTGATAGGATAGTTTGAATTTCTCCCATGCCCAAATAAAAGAATCTTCTATTTTCTCTCAATGTTCACATTAAGGTAAGAGCCTGGGCACCATCTCGACTCCCAGTTCTACTGCAGAACCACAGAAAGATTAGCCTAAGAATACTGTGAGATTTAAAGGAGCAAGTGTAACAATGAAAACTTCTGCCTTTCGCTACTGTAGAACTGCTGGGATGGCAAGTTTCCCAGCCCTTATAATATTTCATTTTGGACTTTACTGGAGCAGGAGTACCCGCAACATAATCCCCCTAGAAAATGGCAGAGGCAGTAGGCAAGACACTGCTAAGCAAGTGACATGAGAAGTGGTCTATCAGCTATCCTCTTAAAAATAGCACAGGGAAACTCACAGCTCCTTGTGAAGAAAATGGGAGGGAATCCCACTAGCTGCTTCTTCCTTGAACACTTAGCTTTCCCTATAGCTATTGGAGAGATGAAAGATTTCATTAAGAGGAAAGAATGGGTCCTGGAGGAACATCCATAGAGGTTTGGATAACAACCTGAGGTTTGGAATCTGCTCTGAATCCACACTCCAAACCTTCAGAGATTAAAACATTTGTAATATGGACAAATGCCAATTGAAGACTATACTGAAACCAAATTGAAGATATTTTTTCTACAGAGTGAGATTGTTATTGCTTGTTATTTTTATTTCTAGTAGGAGGGGCCATAAAAGCAGGCTGGCATAAGGATTCACCTATGACTTGTGCCAGACTCAAGCCTGCAGCTTCACAGAAAAAATATAATCTTGAATATTCAGTAGAACAAAAAGATCACTGAGCCACTGTGTTCAGACACATTACAGGAACAGTTTGCATAAATAAAACACTAGGCTCATTCAAGGTTCATGTAGTCCATTTGCTGGGTCATCAATAGCAACTTAAATGACAAGTGATTTGAGAAGAACGTCTAGTAATCTGGTTAATGAGTTAAAAAAGCAGCAAAGAAATACCACATTAGTCAAAGTCATTATCAGAGTTGTCCAACACTATCATGGCTTTGTAATTAATTAGTTCTGTCTCAATTGTCCCAACACAGGAAACCAATCTACCCATTGCAAAAGGAAATATAAAAAAAATGTTAAAACAGATCTACATCTTATTGACAGCAGGATACTGATTATTTTTATTTATATTATTTATATTGCAGTAGAGTTTACAGGCCCTAATTAGGATTAGAGCCCTAATGTTCTAGGTGCTGTACAAACACAAAGGAAGACACCATATATTACCTAAAGGATTTATATTCTCAAGCAATAAGTGATATTGAAGGGGATGGAAATGGGAAGCAATCAAATATGCAAATATTTTAATTAACATATATGTTTGCTATTTTTTAAAATTGTCAAGAGATAATAGTAAGTTTCAGTTGTCTCAGGTGTCTCTTACAGTAGCAATTACTTGACTGATGTCTTATAATGCTAGCAATGTAAATTAGAGCTTGATTAAGATCTTCCTCTGCTTTTTAGCAACTTCCAAACTCTGACATTTCACCATTTTTCCATAGTAAATAATAACAACAACAACAATAAAAAAAATAAAAACAAAAAATAATAATCTGGACATAAATAGCAAGGCAGGTATATAAGAGGATATTTAGTCAGTCTAATTTCTGCACTAAAGGATCCATTTCCATGAGGATACAGATAGCGTCCTCTAATTCCAGTTATGTGCCTATGCCTGTCAATTAAACATTTTCTAGAAGTCCCTCTGGAAGTGCTTATTTGAAGCTGATGTTGGCATAGTTTTTCACTTTTTTCTATCCACCTGGTTTACACGCTAGTTTATTGATACCTGCCTGGAAATTGAATGAGTGCAAAAACATCAACAAAAGAAACCTCAAATCCATAACAACCAAGACATTCAAATTCAAAATTATTTTTTTTCTAGCTCCCAAAACTGAAACTGAAGAAAACTACTGTATCAAACATTTAAAATCTCGTAACTTAGCCATAAAGTCTCTCACCACTCTATATGCATATCTATACACATACTACGAGCATATATACTTTCTCCATTTTCCCCTCCCCCATATTACTATAAGTTAATGGAAAATACACACCGTATTTTTTTAAATATTGTAAGTGGAAAGATTCAAAGCTTGGTATTCTAAGTGACTTTATATGAGATGTAACCTACAGAGCTCAGTTTTTAAATGTGGGTGCCTTAATAGGACATCTAAATACTGCACTTTATTGGAGTGCTGATTTGAGCAACAAAATGTAGAAACTGAATGTCCCATAAAGGTAACCACATTAGAAAACCAGGCTGCTGTATACATATAAACATGCAAGAGCCCCATTATTTTAAAGCAAAACAAAGTTCTCTTCTCAAACCTCTTTTTTCCTCATGGTCTTCTCTCTTCTCTGCGTAACATTATTCCATTTTACACACACACTTAGATGTGCCATAATGGCTTCTTTTAAAATGCATAAAACCAATCCGCAGCTCAACTAAGACTGAAACAGTTTTAATATTTTCTGATCCATGTTTCTGCCACACACATTCCCTGGCAGTATGATAGCTCCAAGAGCAGACATCTGATTCTTGACATTTAAAGATACAATACTGGTGAAAAATAGTGACGCTTTATTAACTGCAAACAGCTTGTGAGGGAGTAGGTGATGTACTCTTAAAGTGTATAATCAGAACAAGCAATCATTTCAGCCTTTCAATATGATATTTTTGAATCATTGCCATAAGAAAAAGAAATAGCCAGATACACAAATCTGGACACTTTACAATAACTATTTTATCTTTTGTGGAAAAACAGCTAGTAGTTTATTTTTGTTTTTTACTGCTGTATAAAGGATTAAGACATCTGAGAGTTTCCAAAGGGTCTCCAATTTTCATAATAAAATAAGAACTAATGAAGTCAAATCCTGAAATTACAGAAACCAAAGAATTTGTAAACTGGTAACATCCTGTTGAGTGACATTGTAATGCTAAATACAAGCACAGCAACCTCCAATTCCCTATGCCCCTGCTGTGATTGCCTTTTGAATCCAACCCCCCACCACCTAGCTCTCATTCTTCCCACATGAAAAAAAAAATCAGCCTGTGGGCCACTGGAAAAGTTCACTTGAACTACTAGCTTTTAGGAATAAAATGCAATTTTTATCCCCCTTTCTTCTTTTCTATATCCAGTGATCTCTCAACCCATATGACTGATAATCGTCTCTGAAATATCAGAGTGAAAACACATCTGCAAAATGGACAATTCAGTAAACAGCAATCTGAGCTACATACTATACCTGAAGGTACTGACAAGACCGTTCCTGTTGACATGTCTCTGATTTCACCAATGTCTGATCCGCATTAGTATTAACTGAAGCTTTCTGGTAAACCTCGCGGGCTCTGCTCACTGTCAGTGTAGAGGACCAAGAGCTTTTCTTCATTAACTGGGCATCCAGATTCACAGGTAGGTTTGCACAGGTAGAGCATTTGACATCATTATTGCTTTTGGATGACTTCACAGTATGTTGACTAACAGTATTATAGGCTTCCATAAAGTATTGAGAAGTGGAACGATCAGGGCACCTTCCCATAGTCATAACCCCACTAGGACCATGGTAAATGCAAACATCATTGTCCAAGTTGTCATCTGAACTCCACCAACCTGGCGCATTGGATCTGGATTTGCCTTCTGATCTCCTTTCTTTACTCTTGCTACGCTTCCCGTACCTCATAGACTGTGTCTCCTCTGGGCTTGCTTTGCCACCATTGACACTTCCCTTTGATGGTCCCTCAAGAGAATGGGACTTCGTGAAGAGCTTTTGAACAGAGTGAACCAAGTGGCGGATCCTCCCTGGACTATCACTGCGATGTTCCACGGCAGTCCGTTTGTATTGTAAGGTATGGTAGCCATCTCGATTGAGAGGTAGCTGCCTTTCAAACTGGTCCAAAAGATTGGCGGGAATGCGATTGGTTTTGTTAGCTGTTCCCTGGGGAACAAGAGCACATTCGTCTTTAAGTTCATGGTGGGAATTGTAATGTCGCCGAGGAAATGTGCTGCTAGCAATCTGATCATTATAAGGTACCATGCATTCTGCCTGAAAAGAGTTCCTCTGAGTATAATAAGGGTGATCTGCAGGATGAGGGTCCACTGGATTTAACAAATATGGCTTCCTGTCTGGGTGGTTGTCACATGGAGAGTCACAGGCAACCCCATGATGATGACTACGGTTGCTGGATAATCCTTTCATTGTTGATGTAAAGGGTGTCCCAAAGTCATCTAATATGTATTGTTACAGATAGATCTCAGAGAAAAGCCTAGAATAATAGAAAACAATAGAAGAGGTGAGATATTTAAGCCACTACAGTAATTAACATGCAATTTTTTCACAGACATCGCCTCTAATATCAGAAATCCTATGCATAAAATCCTTTCTGAAACCCCGTTGTTAGACACTCCTTATGCATGATGGCCTTACATTATCACTGCAAGGATCGATCAGCTAATTAGAAAGAATGAACTTGTTCTACCAAGTGAAAATTAGACAAGGGAAGATTTTCTTCAGTGAAACCCACCATTGCTAACTGACTAATAGCAGCAAAAATGCTGTCATGTATCCTATAAGGCCCCAATCCTGAAAACACTTCTGCATGTGTGCAAATCCTTATATGCATATTCAGTGGATCCCAAATTACTCATACGCACATTGCAGGCTCAGGCCAGAATTCATTAAACAAAATCAGGCTCTTTCAGAACACTTTCTATGTTACTTAGCACTCAATGCAAAACATAGTGTAGTCAATGGGAGGCTCTCCATTGACTTCATTGGATATTAGATCAGACTCCAAGTGTATATTTCATTCACTTTATGTCTTTTGTCTACTTAGATTTTAAGCAGCTCTTAGCAAAGATAAGACTTTTTCTTTCTTGTATTGCTTTAAGAGTAACATATATGCTTTATATTGTGGTAATTGATTTTGTTTCTTCATGGGAGAGAACCAGTGTGGAGGACACAGATCTTAGTTAGACAGTCTGCATCTTTGCCCAAATGCAGAGAGCAGTTGGAAAGACCCAGAAACTTCCAGAACATGGTGAAGTAATTACCAGTCATAATCAGTAGCTGTTCTGAGATCTCTGTATGATGTTCTCATTGTGGGCAACTCTCCTGCCAGGTCATAACTTAGTCAGCTTCTGAAAGCTGACTCAATTAGGGAACAAGGGTGTGTGTGGGAGAGGGAAGGTTAAAAACCAGGGAGCTAAAAATAGCCCAGAAGATTCAGCAGCTGAATGACATAGAACAGTGGTCTCCAACCTTTTTACACCCAAGATCACTTTTTTAATGGCAGACCAAGCCAAGATCTACTGCCCCTTCCTTGAAGCCCCGCCCTCTCTATTCTCCTCCTCTCCATCACTTGCTATCCCCAATCCTTATACTGCTACTTTAAAAAAAATTCCCACCATTCCTCGCAGCTACTCACCTGTGCTGTTGCTCGGTGAGTAGCTGCTCCTCAAATGAGGAAATCTAATGTAAATGTATTGCGCAGGTGCGCAGTTCAGAGAGGGCTCAAGAGCTACTCTTAGAGCCTCCGAGATCTACCGGTAGATCGCGATCTACTGGTTGGTGACCACGGACATATAGAACCAAGAATTGTGCTTGCTTGTGTGTGGAGTCCCAAGCCCTTTACCACTTTGGACACAAGCTACATACTACTGTTTCACTAGGAACTGAGAGGCCTAGTCACATATTAACCCAAAAGTTAGAATGCTATTGGCTGTGGAGATCTCCAGACTGTTTGCTGACTGGGTCCTGAGGTTTTTGAAAAGACGGCGACACCACTGCTTCTCAAGCTTGGAGAATCCAGATGGCACAGTTCACTATTATCATCCTATAAAGACTGAGAACTCATCTCTGAGAGAAGATCAGAGAGGAATGTGTCTTGACACGTGCTGAAGTGTAAAAAAGGTTTTGCTGATTCCGTACATTTGAATGTTTGTAACAAAAGGAGGAATGTCTGTATGAGAACACTGGTACATTTACCAGCTAATAGCTTTTGTTTAACAGTTTTTCACTGTATTCCAAATAGGATTTACAAGGTGTTTTTGTGCACATTAAATGATGGTTTTCAGGAAGAGAGTGTATAGTATGCACTATTTGAAATCAACTGGGAACTATTAACATTCACTTATCAGGGCTTTACATAAAATAGCCATGAGCTGTAATTCTGTGTAATGCTTTTTGAAAAGTCCTGAAAAGTCAGAGCCCTGCTCTCTGCCTCAACAAGGAGTAACCCTGAGATGCAGGAAGAAGGGGACTGTCAGATTTATACAGAACATTGTCTGAATACGCCATCCCTTCCCTCGCCACGGCACAATATCAAATCAATAATAAAATAATAATAATAATAAAGGTTGCTCCATGAAAAATATCCCAACTGTAATCCTTTTACCGTAGGCAGTTTTGGAACCATTGCCTACCTATTGACTTATTCCTACTCTTTACCAGAAATATTTTAGACTTAGAGCGGTCTGGTATTTTACTGTTCAGACTTTTCTTGTACATTTTCAAAGAACGAAAGTGTTTTAGCCTCACTGCTCCCTCTGAATGGGATTTGTACAAGCAAATCCTCTAGATGGCTTCTGCAAATGTAAAAGACCATTACTTGAGAGTGGATTGGAAATATCTGGCCTCAGAGTGACTTAATATTACAGAACTACAACTGGGCACCAGATATATTCCTTTAGCTCAGATGATTCAATACAATTAGAATGTCCATGATAAATGAAACTAATAAGAATACTTAGTGCTCACTTTAAGTACTCTTTGTTTGGTTTATTATGTCATAGAATGTGGAATGTAGTGGGTCATCCAGCCAATATCTTTGTTAAGACTTCCGCTGTAGAAATCAAACTTGAACACGAAATTAAGTTCTGTAGCTTCCCTGTCCAGTTGGCTTTTGAAATTGGTTTGAAATAATATGATGACTTTGAGATCCAGGCAAATCTGATTCCTACAGCAGAAATATAAACAAAGACATTGGCTGGATCTACATTCCACATCCTAAGGACATAAAAAAATCAAATAAAGGATTCTTAAAGTAGGTACTAAGTATTCTTATCAACTTCATTTAACATGGGCACTCTGACAATTTCTTCATCCTTTTTTTCTTCTTTTTCCTCCTCTACCCTCCCCCCCATCTATTTATTTAAAAACTGGACTCCTTAAACTCCATTCATCTGAAGAAATGGGTAGTGCCCAGGAAAGCTCATGATACCATCTATGTTTTTTGTTAGTCTCTAAGGTTCTGCAAGACTATTTGTTGTTTAAGTTTTTCCAGGGGCAAAGTCAAAAGGCTAGTTGGAGTAATGTTGCTGCAAAATCAACACCTCTAATCTATGAATTGCTAATGACACAAAATACTTCGCTGCAATGTCTAAGGAGCTGGTGCACACAAAGGTAATGCAGCAGCATTGGGCTTTTGGGGAGAGTTCTTGCTGTGCCATCTTTTTGCATCTTCTTTTAACATAAATGAACTAGAGCATTGTCAGCTACACTATTGTTTCCATTGAGGCTGATAATGCATTATACCTCTGGGAACATTATTTCAGTCTGAATATTTCTTTCGGTGTGTGGAAAGACTTGCGTAGCAACTGGATGGCAAATTTCCAACAGTTAAGTATTTATGTTTTAATTATCTGTAGTGTTCACATCTACCAGAAAATCAACCATACAGACTTTCTGAAATAATACTACATTGGTCTTGATCTAGCAAAGCCTATTTTGCATTAACCAGAATATATTTTATATTTTCCTTTGAATCTCTAGCAAGACAAAAATATTTCTTGATATATTACAGAGCTGATGTGGATGTGGCGCATTTCACTCTCCCATAGTACCTCCATACAATCTAGAAAATATTCATTGTTCTGAGATCTTGAATGCTAAAAAGAGTTTTCAAAACATGACAAATGGCATTTGAAATATTCAAAGATGATGAGTTCATTGGTTTACTCAAGTAGAGGCATGGCCTAAAGCACTTTTAAAAGCACTAAAAGACTATATTCACAGGTCAGGTCTTGTCAACTACACAGTACTTACAGTATCCGGCAGTTCTAAAGAACACTTTACAGCTTTATCAACTCCTTTACTAACATGATCTATAAAGCTGTGGAACAGCTATGATTCCCAAAGGAAATGGGAGAAACTGTATTACTTGAGTCATTTAAAATGCATTCTAATGAGAAAAAAAAACCATGCTCTCAGAAACAGTCCTACAAAAGGGACCAGATGACCAAATAAGTCTCCTCCATTCTTTAATATCTTTGAATATAGGATCACATTATAAAGGTTGGCATATAATTAATAACCATATGATTGTTGACAAAAATATTTTATTAGCATCATAATGTGAGCCCTAGGATTACATAATTATTGTAATGCTAATAAAATACAAATTCAGCATACAAGAAAAAGATCCGAACAATCCCACTCCCAAAGATAGAATCATAGAACACTAGAACTGGAAGGGACCTCGGAAGGTCATAGAGTTCAGTCTCCTACCCTCATGGCAGGACCCAGTACCATCTAGACCATCCCTGACAGATGTCAATTTAACTTGCTCTTGAATATCTCCCATGATGGAGATTCCACATCCTCCCTAGGCAATTTATTCCAGGCTGTGTCTACACTGGCACCTTTTTCCAGAAATGCTTAAAACGGAACAGTTTTCCGTTATAAGTATTTCCGGAAAAAGAGCGTCTACATTTTCGCGATCGGGGCTTTTTTCTGGAAAAGACTACTGTGCTGTTTACACTGGCCCTTTTTCGGAACAGTTTTCCTGAAAAAGGACTTTTGCCCGAGCGGGAGCAGCATAGTTTTTCTGGAAAAGTAGCTGATTTCTTACAGTAAATTGTCACTGCTTTTCCGGAAATTCAAGGGGCCAGTGTAGACAGCTCGCAGCTTATTCCGGAAAAGCAACTGCTTTTCCGGAATAAGTGGCCCAGTGTAGACACAGCCCCAGTGTTTAACCACCCTGACAGTTAGGAAGTTTTTCTTAATGTCCAACCTAAATCTCCTTTGCTGCAGCTTAAGCCAATTGTTTCTTGTCCTATCCTCAGAGGCCTTCTCCTTGTGACACCCTTTTAGGAGCAGGTGTGCATAAAAATAAAAGAATTGCGGCAGGCCTATGCTGGGCCTCAGGGGGCAGCTCCCAACTAGGGGCTGACCCAGATCCCTGCCCCTATTACGATGCCCTGGACCGCATCCTGGGGGGGTCAGATGGTCCGTGCCCCCACGTGGTCATTGACCCTGGGGCAGAGG